AAAAAAAAAAAAAAAAAAAAAGAATTGGACAGAATCAGGAGAAGCTAATAATACAGAGTTAGAAGAAAGGAAAGAGGGGGCTGGAGAGTTGGCTCCGCAGTAAAAGCACTGGTTGCTCTTCTGGAGGACCCGGGTTCAATATCCAGCACTCACATGGTGGCTCACAACCATCTGTAACTCCAGTTCCAGGGGATCTGATGCCTTCTTCTTCACACATATATGCAAGTAAAGCACCAACACACACACACACACACACACACACACACACACACACACAGTTTTAAAAAGGAAAGAGTTCTAAGGTGTGTATAGAAGATAAAAGTGGGCCGGGCAGTGGTGGCGCACGCCTTTAATCCCAGCACTTGGGAGGTAGAGGCAGGCGGATCTCTGTGAGTTCGAGACCAGCCTGGTCTACAGAGCTAGTTCCAGGACAGGCTCCAAAGCCACCGAGAAACCCTGTCTCGGACCCCCCCCCCCCAAAAAAAAGGAAGACGATAAAAGTGGTCATCGCCAGGTGTCCAATACCACAGAATATCTGTCCCACAGAATAAAGTCCACTCACTCAACCAGCAAATATTTCATTTTCTGAGCTCCTGTTGTATGCTGGGCACTTAAGACATTTGGAATATACTGATGTATTAGCATGCTAAAACTGCTATAGTAAAATACCACAATCTGGGTAGCTTTAAGCAACCAAAATTAATAGGCTCAGATTTGGAGGCTGAAGTTTTGAGAATTGTCAGCTGAGCTATGCTCTTTTGACTTATCCCTTCTCACCTAGCATCTCTGTGTATGTGTATGTGTGCATATGTGTATATGGAACACAGAGAGATGGGGGTCTTACTATGTAGACCAGGCTGACCTGAAGTTCACAATGTAGACCAGGTTGGGCTGGCGCTCATAGAGATCTGTCTACTTTTGCGTCTCAAGTTCTGGGATTAAAAGCATGCGCCACCAGGCTTGGCGTTTTTTTTTGTTTGTTTGTTTGTTTCTTTTAAATTTTTTTTTTTTGTATTGTCTGTTGTGGGCATGGATGGAGCTGCCATGGCCTGCCTGTCCAGAGTTTAGAAGCTTCTGGTACTTAGTTTTCTTCTACCATATGGTAGTTTCCTCACTGACATCTTTAATATAGACTGTGCTTTATTCATTCAAGACCTGGTACCTAGCTCAGTACCTGGTACAGGCCATGCATAAGCTTATAGACTGGGGATGTTAACTCTGTGGGAGAGTGTTCATCCTGGAAGACTAAGGCCCTTGGGTCCTTCCCCGGCCCTGCAAATAATACCGATAACAACAACTAAAGTTGCAGGCTGTACAAACTCATTCAAACCTGTAACTGGAACATCGCAGCTACCAAATGCCAAGAGAATCAAGTTTCCGTACCATTTTAACAGAGTACAAGAAAGAATTTGCTGCATTAACATAAGTTAGACTACCGGCACAAATGTCAAAGTATCAGACCTAACTATGTGAGCTGATTAACACTACATAGAATCATTTACATTCTTCACAAACAGACCTCAACACAGCAGGGAAATAGAGCATTAAGCCCTTACCTCCGAAGATAGGTAGTCTCCTCATCTTCGGTGTTACAAAACTTATGAGCGTGTTTGGCAGCATCAATCACGCGAGACCGGTCCCGAGGCCTCATAGGCAATTTCTCTAATTGACAATCTAAAGGAATGAAGAAAGATTTCGCCGCTTAGAACCACTTAAAAATATCCTGAGCAACTTAATGAGATCTTGTCTCCAAAAAAAAAAAAAAAAGCCCGACGTCTCGCTGCAGCAGTTTCCCGCCACTCACCCAGCACCAGGACCATCTGGCCGCACAAACAGTAGTAGACATGGAGGGGCTTCTCGCCGTCATCATATTCCTCGCGATCCCGGGTGTCAGAGCAGACCACCGACCGGGAAACGACTTTCGGCATTGCTCAAGCGGAGCAGCCAGAGAACTCTAAGGAAATGAAGAGTCGCGCCGAGATGGCGTCACAGGCGCACGTGTAGGACCATGGCTCCTCCCAGGTCACGTGCTGGTGCCGGCCTGATTAACTTCCGGAACGTCCCATCTGGCTACGAAGCAGGGGGAGGCGGGGTAGGGTGGTTGACAGACGCTCCTCCCGCTAGGCAGTTAGTTGGAACAGCTTTAGTTGTCGACCCGCTCACTATTATTTAAATTATTTTGATTTCTATACAATCATCAATATTTATCTTGTTTTATTTGTTAGCGCGCTAGTGTGTGTGTGTGTTGAGGTCAGAAAACAACTTTCTGATTTCTATTCTTTCTTTCCACTTTGTGGATCTCAAGATAAAGCTCAGGTCTTAAGGACTTTTACCTACAGAGCCATCTCTCTGATCCATAAATATCCATGAATTTATGTAAAACCTGACATAATAAAGGACTATACATCATACACAGACACACACACACACACAGACAACACACAGACAACACACCCTAGATTCTAGATGTACCTGTAAATATTTTTATTTTATTGACAATATTCAGAATGAGTATCTAATGAAGTAGAAACTTTTTTCTGCTGTACTGGAAATTAAACCTAGGACGTTGCACATACCAGACAAGCATTCTATCTCTGAGCTATCCTCCAGCCCTATTTCTTCTTTGTTTCTTTAATTTAGTTTTTAAAATTTATACATTTTTATTTTATGTGTATGAGTGTTTTGCCTGCATAGGAAGGCTTTGGAGCCTCTGGAACTGGCATTACATAAGGTTATGAGTTGGCCTGTGTGTCCAATAGACCCAGAGTTCTCAGGAAGAGCAGCCAGCACTCTTAACTGCTCAGCTATCTCTCTACCTTCCTCTGTCCTTCCTTCCTTTCCTTTCCTTTTCTTCCTTCCTTTCCCTCCTTCCCTCCCTCCCTTCCTTCCTTCTTTCCTTTCCTCTCCCTTCCTCCTTCCTTTCCTCTTCCTTCCTCCTTCCTTTCCCTTTCTTTCCCTCCCCCTTCCTTCCTTCCTTCCTTCCTTCCTTCCTTCCTTCCCTCTTTCCTTCATTTCTTTTTATCTAATGCAGTGTTTCATTACCTAGTTGAGGTAGCCTTGAACTCATAACCCTCTTCCCTCTGTGTCCTGTATGCTGAGATTGCAAGCATGTATCCAGGTGACCAGCTGAAGCTTCTTTATTTAAAAAGATACAATTCAAATTCTTTAAAAAAAAAATTCAACTTGGGCA